CTTCTTCATCACCAAATTTTGCCTCAGATTTTTTGGTGAGAGACGAGAGAGTAAGGACCTGTTTAAGAGAGAGAAAATAATGGAGAGTTAAGGTTTGGGTGAAAGGAAAATTGATTTAAGGTTTATATTTATTAATACCTAATTTATGAATAATGAAAATTTGCACATGAACTTTGAAATGTATTCTTTAAATTCCTGTTTTTGTGTAATTTCCTCTTTATTTATACTATTGGGGTCCAAGAATTGCCCAATTAAAAACGGGTTATGTCTATCGGAGGCCCAGGAATATGGAACAGAACGGGAAATTGTACAGAGCTTTCTGGAATCACAAGCAAATTAAAATCACTCCTCAAAAAACCAGTAGAAAATTCAAGGGTTTCAGAAATCAAGTTTCAGTCACCTAAAAATGGTGGTAATCGAACCAATTAAACCGACTCCCCCAGTTCAAGAATCCACTGAAGAAAACTCTAGTACTGCTACAACGGCAGAGGAAATACTGCACGGAACCGGAAATACTGTTGAATCGGCGACGGCGGCGACTTCCGGGAATGATTCTGATGGGTATGAGACTGCCAGCGAAACCGAGCTAAATGATCCCGATCGAGAACCGGAAAAGAACAACAAAACTGTCAGCAACCATGATAATAGTGATGGTGATGTAAGGCGTGGCGTCAAGGAAGAAGAACGGAAGGAGGAAAGTGAATCCGGAGACAATGAACTCAACGAGGTAATTTTACCTCTGTATTTTTGTCTCGGTAACCTTCTGTCGCATTGTCATATCGAGTTTATGGAAATTAGCTTTTGTCTATTGGAATTATGGAATATAGTGACCTCTGGAGTGATGAAATTTATTTTAGTTGATTTCTTGCGCTATTACCCGAAAAATTGAATAATGATCTGTGTCTGATCAAAAAAATATTTAAAAGAGGAGACTGGTAAATTTGAGTATTCTGTTTTTGGGGGCTAGACAAGTAATAGTTGCTAATTTGAGTTTTCTCTTATTTTATTTTATTTTTATTATAGTTTTGCATGATAGCGTAGAACTGATTCACTTGCTATACTGTCATGATAGCATCTCAGAAGACTGATGTCTGGGTAATGAACTTTATCATGGTTATACAAGCTCTGAGAGATGAAAATTTTCTGATACTATTTGTCTTTTGTTTTTTTTTTCCTGAACTCATCTTGTAATTAGTCGTGTTTTTGGGTTTCGGGGCAAGCTCAAGGAATTTAGAACCACACTGAAGATCAGGTCACATATTGTTGCAAGATATGTAGTCAATGGGGAAATGGAAATCAATAATTCACACCATGATAATCTAATGCAGGGATGGATCCAGGATTTTTCATAGGGGAACTGGAAGTACTTTATAAATTGAATGTAATAAAATATATGCGTACTAAAAAAACTCGTTAAAGAACATTATTTATTGAAGTCGTTCCGGACGAGGATTTGAAATATAATACACATCTATAATAGAATCTAGATTTATTTTCTTAGTAAGTTCTCTTTCTATAAAAAGTATCATACAATCAGCAAGAAAGTCAACCTCTATTTTGTTGCAAAGTGTCGTCTTCACATGTTTCATCGCTGAAAATGCTTGCTTAGTACTTGCGGTAGAAACAGGTAATGTCGAATCAATCTAGTCGTCATAATGTAAATCTCCGACCTTCCACTCTTAGTCAAATGTTTGCATAACTCAACAAGTGTGGATACATGAAATTGGGACTCACCCTTCATATCTAACTCATAATGTGGTAACTCATATTCCAATGTAATAAGAACTTGCTTCGAAAAATCTTGAGGATAGAATTTCTCAGCAAGTGTGCAAATTTTTCGATTGTCAAACGATCTAAATGAATCTTTAGGATCCAAAACTACACTGAGAGAAAGGAGTTCTACTGATATGTCATTAAATCTTGTATTTAACTCCATCGTTACAAAATCTATTGCTTCATTAAAAACATCATAGTGATAATAATGCTCAATTGTAGTTTCATCACTAGAACGGCCAGTGTCATACGAACCTTCTAGATCAGGTATTGTAATATTATTCTTTGAGCAAAAAGATTTTACTTCTTGAAAAAATTCTTCCCAATCGTCATCTTTCAATTTTTGAAGCAATTTTTTAGTGGTAGACACAAATCTCAAGCAGCCAAGATGTTTTGGGATCTTCTTTGAAGGGCTTGACAAAGAATATCACTGATTCTCATTATTCTATGCGTCAAATGCAAGATAGATATGAACTTAAAACTTATCAACTTTTCCAAGCACCTCGCATGTTTCTAGCGCTATCATACCCTTGTCTTCTCATTTTGTTCAGCTGAAGTTCATATTGAGCAAGAACATCACATATTTCATTTTGAGATTCGATGAAGTAGTATTACTTACTTTTTTGATTGCAAAGAAAAGTTCTATCAAACTATCGTAACTATCCACAAACCTCAAGATAATGGCCATCTGCTCTCGATTAGATGCATCTTGTGCTTCATCAACAAAAATGCAAAAGTATTCATCCCCAACTTCCTATCGAATCATCCGTCGTACTCTATTGGCCATAATATGCAAAATTTCTTTTTGAAAGGTTGGAGGAATGTATTAGGCANCTTCCTATCGAATCATCCGTCGTACTCTATTGGCCATAATATGCAAAATTTCTTTTTGAAAGGTTGGAGGAATGTATTAGGCAATTTGTGGTGCATTTTCCAAAACAACTTTACCAATATCTGGATTCAAATTTGTTGCGTACTTTATTAGTTGTATAAAATTTCCATTATTATATGAAGATGGAGATTCATGGTTACCTCTGAACCCTAAACCTTGAAATGCTAGCTATTGAACACTGATAATTGAAGTCATTATACGCAAAGGACGTTTTCGAATTTCCTCTTTTGATACTGAGTTCATTACCTTATCAATATGTTGAGACGATTTGATTAAATCTTTAGCTCTAGTCTCACACAATTTATGATATGCTGAATTAGCATGAACAAGAAATGCACATTTATTTCCATCTTTAACCCTCTTCCATTTATTATATCCTTCAGTAACCAATCCCAAACAGGTAGAAGAATTACATTCTTTTTGAAAAAGAAAACACTAAAAGCAATATGCTTTTTCAGTTGAAAGAGAATACTCCAACCAAGGAAATTCAGTAAACCATTTTTTCTGAAAGCAACAAGATTTTGTTTTCCTTCTATTCTTGGATACTCCTCAAGCTTCATCTGATAAGGTCTAACTTTGATATATGCAATTCTAATCTAATCTCTTAGATTGGTAGGATGTTCAAACATTTGCTTTCTTTTTCCCGGATCCCCTCCAAAACTAGTACATGATTGCAATTCCAGAGTTGAGACCAACGAATGTTCAATTTCTGGAGCTACAATTGGAGGATGTTGCATAGGAGTTGAGGTTGAGGAGCGTTCAATTTTCGGAGATATACTTTCACTAGATTGATCAGTCTTTTTGAAGAATGAAAATAGTGTCTTTTCTCTCTTCAATGAATGTTGATCTTCCATTTGTAAGTGCTATAAATAGGAGATAGAAAAAAATGAGATGAGGCAACAATAATATAACGCAAAACTTGAAGAATTTCCAATTAAGGACTAGAAATATAAACAATAATAATAATTCAAAAGACAAGAATCATCTTCAATTTCATATAAAATTATTTTTATATCCACATGAAAGGGTAATAAATGTTAACATTAACATTAAAATCAGTAATAGCAGGCACAATTTATACGACAAAATCATTATGCTAATGAGTGATGATCAGTGATCACTAATGTGAGGTTCACACTTTAAATCAAGAAAATTAGAAATTGAGAAAAAAAAACCATCCGAATTGACAAACTCATATAGATTTTGACTTCAAAGAACAAATTAATTTGCAGTGTACAGACACTAAGGCTAAGCTTTAATTTGCATGAATTTCAAATTAATTCACAAATTAAGGATTCAAGAAAGGGAAGAAAAGGAAATAAAAAATTTAGGAAAATAGACAAGATGTAGAAGATATTTCCATTTACTTACAAAATGAACTATTTGATAGTAACTCATTTAAATATCTAATACAATGCACCCAAAAATAAATAAATAAATAATAATAATAATAATAATAATAATAATAAATTTATCATTTCAATTTTCTCTCCTC